GTTTGTTTTTGGGTTTTTTGTGTTTTTTTTTTTTTTTTTTTTTTTTGCTTTTTTGTTTCTAAATTGGAGAGGTTAGAGTTAGTTGCTGCTTTTGCTTTTGTTGAAACTCAGGTTATGTTGCGTTACTTGGGAAGCCGAATGTTGGGAAGAGTACGTTAGCGAACCAAATGCTTGGCCAGAAGTTGTCAATTGTTACAGATAAACCTCAAACAACGAGGCATCGGATTCTGTGTATTTGTTCTCGCTCTGATTATCAGGTTTTCATCTTGGTGGAACCTAGCTCTTCTGTTTGGTTTTATCGGCTTGTGCCACGTGTCATGTTTGATTCTTATGATTTGTTATGCTTATTAATTAAATGTTTGTTTGGATTCATGTTGGATTTAAGTATATGTTAGCATGTTTCGTCTGACGTTCGAAAATTGATTTTTGGTTCTAAAGTTTATTTTTAGCATTTTGTTTTTCTGTTTGAGAGGTCCCAATTACCAAACCCACCTTCATTTGAAAGCTACAATTTGTTGCTTCTCAATGAATTGAGTATTGGAATGTGAACCTGTAGATTGTAACGTGCATTCAAACAGGCTATTGGGTTGAAACAGCTTTGAGTGGCTTTTGTGATGGACAAGCTATCGCTTTGAATAAGTTCTTGGCTATTTATCATCCTAGCTTTGAATTAACTAACATAAGATGGTGACATGCTCTTCTTAAGTTCTTAATTCTTTTTTAGAGATGAATGATCTTTCATACTGGTTTTTCACTTGAAAATATATGTTGTTAGATGAGGTGGGGTAATTCAATTGATAAATGGTTCTCTTTAATACAAATTCAGAAGTTCTTGTTCGTCAATTTTGACATATTGCATGTATCATATTCATGAACAAAAACCGCACAAGGCAAGAGTTTTAGCTATTTTACATGAGTAACATTAATACTAAATTTGCAAACTTAATGGATGTACCACAGAATTTATATTTTTCCATTTTCTGACCTTGGAATCTCTTGCAGATGATACTTTATGACACGCCTGGTGTTCTGCAGAAGGAAATGCACATGCTAGACTCAATGATGATGAAAAACGTCCGCAGTGCTGCAGTTAATGCTGACTGTGTATTGGTTCTTGTCGATGCACGTAAAGCTCCTGAAAAAGTATGGATCTACCTTTACAAAAATGTTTTAGGCTTTTTTTATTCCCTGTTTTTTCAAATTGGTTTCTATCTCTAGATTGATGAAGTGTTGGAAGAAGGCATAGCAGATCTCAAAGATAAACCCCCCACATTACTGATTCTAAACAAGAAGGACCTTGTTAAACCTGGTGAACTTGCAAAGAAACTTGAGGTTGGAACAAAGTAATTAGTATTTATGTTAGCATGTATAAGTTAATTCACTGGTTTTGCCATGTATTTTTTGTGTTTTATGTCTCAATTATTTCAAATTCATTGCAGTGGTATGAGAAATTTACTGATGTTGATGAGGTTATACCAGTTAGTGCCAAATATGGTCAGGGTGTTGAAGATGTAAAGGACTGGATACTGTCAAAGCTTCCCAATGGACCAGCTTACTATCCAAAGGCATGTCAAAAGTCATGATTTTGTTTCCCTCATTCAAGTTTTTTGCTTTGTCACTGATTCATTTCAGAGATAAAAACAGGTGCCGATTAGACCATAAAAGAACATTTTCTTCTGCTATTCTATGCCCGACTATGAAAAGAGTAAATGCATTTGATCAATGAGTTTTCCTTTAAACTGAAGTAAAAACCGGCTAGCTACCTTGGGGTTATGTTTAAGGTCATTGAAGTGAACCAGGCTATGTATATAAATGTTCAGTCACAATACACACGCATACTTGATTTATAACAGTACCTATTAATTTTTCTTCTTCTATAATGACAGTCAAACAAACATGCAACCAAGCCTTTTCCCACTATGTGGGGTCAGCTACGTTGATCCTGTGATGGCACAATGTTTAGCCGTGAATCATATTAATGTTAGCTTGCTTTCTGTATAAAGATGTGATATAAAAAAGATTAAGTGTCATCTAGCCTGGCTAATCAAATTTGTATATATATCCTACTTCTTGAGAAGCCATAATATTATGTTGCACCTTAGCATATTCATCCTGATTCATATTTTTTGTGACCTTCAATCCAGCAATCTCATTGTAATTTTCTTGTCATTATGCCAGACCACCTATAGGCAGAGTGGCATGCAATTCTAGACTGGTAGTGAGTGACATAGTAATGGTAATGGTATGGAGAATGCTTGTAGTGCTTGCTGGCAACCACTGTGTAGCTAGTTACACCTGCAGTGTAACCATAATGGTCCCTGTGCTGTAAGAACTTGAAAAAGAAAGCATTTCAAATGATATGTATCAATAATGACATGCTCCTCAGCTATACCATCCACATGTGCTGATTCATATTTTTTGTGACCTTCAATCCAGCAATCTCATTGTAATTTTCTTGTCATTATGCCAGACCACCTATAGGCAGAGTGGCATGCAATTCTAGACTGGTAGTGAGTGACATAGTAATGGTAATGGTATGGAGAATGCTTGTAGTGCTTGCTGGCAACCACTGTGTAGCTAGTTACACCTGCAGTGTAACCATAATGGTCCCTGTGCTGTAAGAACTTGAAAAAGAAAGCATTTCAAATGATATGTATCAATAATGACATGCTCCTCAGCTATACCATCCACATGTGCTAATAATGCACCATCACTAAATCGCCAATTGGGCAGACACCACTCCATTGAAATTGTTCCATTACTGCAAACAGTGTGCTATTGCCTATTGCTCTGTATATAGATTTCACCACGCATTGGTATAGTGTAGTGCAGATCCCCTCTGCTATCCTATTAGCAACTTTGGGTACAATAAGAACCTGAATATACCCCCTTGTCATTTCTTCTGCGTACTTGTTTCTTTCATGTGCTATGTCACCTTAATGTTGTTCCTGAATTTGCAGGATATAGTCAGTGAGCATCCAGAAAGATTCTTTGTAGCTGAAATTGTTAGAGAAAAGATTTTTATGCAGTATCGAAATGAAATTCCATATGCGTGTCAGGTAACCATCAAGTTCTCTCTTTTTTTTTCTTTTTTTTCTTTTCTGATATAGCCACCTTCCCCTCCCAAATTGAAGGAATAACTAATTTCTTTTTGTCAAAATATTTGCAATTTTTTTCTTACGTCCAATACTTTCAGGTAAATGTTGTAAACTATAAAGCTCGGCCTAATGCAAAAGATTACATACAAGTAGAGATTTTGGTTGAGAAAAACTCACAGAAGATTATCCTTATTGGAAGAGTAAGTCACTTGTACCAGAATTCAGTGGATCATTTGTGAAATTCTGGAATTTATCTGTACAGTCAGAGTCACAGCAATACTGCCAATGTTATTACTGCTTTTTTGGCTTTAGTTACTCTCTTTAACATTGAATTTCATAACATTATTGGAAAAAAAATTATATCTGTCTTGATGTTGACCCAGCCTTGCAACCAAAAGTGATCTCAATTTCCTGATATTTTGTTCATCTTTAATCATAGAAACTGTCTTTATTTGGTTAAAAAAATCAAAGTACTGCTAAAAGATGCCCTGCCCCCTTTCAAATGAACATGTATCTGGTGCATATTAAAGACTGAACAGTAACCACATATATGTTGTGCTCAACAACTTCAGGAAGGAAAGGCTTTGAAACTGCTTGCAATGGCTTCCCGCCTTGACGTTGAAGATTTTCTACAGAAGAAAGTTTATCTTGAGGTGCCGATTAACATAGTTTTTTATTCTGTACCTGTGCTACTCATTTTGAATCTGGACATGCATATTTTGCTGTTTAATCTTAAGCTTCAAGTGGTAATGTGGCATATATTTTACTTCTAGACCTTAACATTTACTCTATCTTGGTGTCTGAATTATGAACAGATTGAAGTGAAGGTTAAAGAAAATTGGCGACAAGATGAAGGGCTTCTTAAGCACTATGGTTATGGGGGTCAGATACGTGTTATATAACGTGAAGATGCCAAAAAAAAAAAAAAACATTCAGCAGACATCTAACATAATATGTAAGTTAAGATCCCTTGCCACGGTTGCCAACAAAACATAATCTGTATATGATTTTGGCTGACACTAACCATCTTCTGTTCCTTGTAGGCATGTCAAATGATCCCTATTTGGTAAATGTGAATTAAAAATATGTTGAGTGGAAAATTTAAGATTTGGAAGCAATTTTGACATTAGCTATTCTTCCCTTTTCCCTATTACATTTACATTAATTTTGTTTTAGGTTGAATTGTAGGAATGAGAGTAAGCAGTAATGCTACTTATTCTGTTAAGGAAAAGCAGTTGTTAGGGTTCGTCTATTTATTTTGAGAATAGGAACTCTAGTTCATGTATAAACAGTGTATGTAAACTGCGTTACTCAATTGAAATTGTATGATAGTTGACAGGTGTCGCCACCCGCCGAAACGGACCTTGGCAATCGCGACGATGGTCGGACTCTTTTTAATGTTTGGAAAATGATGGATTGCTAGAACGACTTATTCTTAAACTGAGACCTTGTCGAGCTAACAATTTTATTAAA